TTTGTCACATAATATATTCTGATTATGATTTCTTCTCCTTCTACTCACCCCAGTGTGGGGTACTGCTGCGGGAGGACCTTCCACTCCTTCAGTCAATAGCTGCTGAAGTATGAGCCCACTGTGCTGAAGGAGTGGAAGGCGCCCCCGCAGCACCTCCCCCTTTTGTTTAAGTATTGGCTGAAGGGGCAGAAGGTCCTCCCACAGCAGAGTACTCTCAAAAATCTAAAATGAAATCCACCATATGACCCAGGTGTATCACTCTTTGGCATGTGCCCAAAGGGCTCAACATCCTAATCACAATGAACTCTGCCATGTTCATTGCTTCTCTATTCACAACTACTTAGGAAATGAAAGCAACCAAATGTTATTTAATTGAAAAATAGATAAAGAAAATATGGTGCTATTTCCCTGTCAGAAAAATGAATTCACAAAGTTTGCATGTAAATATATGTAACTAGAAAAGATTCTATTGAATGAGTTAATCCAGACCAGGAAAGACAAACTTTTTCTTTGCAAGACTTTTTCTATTTTCTCTTATGCAAGACTCCTAGCTCCAAATCTTCAGATGTGAGTCCATATCCACTCTTCTCCTTTCCTTTTAGAAACATTTAAGAACTTCCTTGCCCTCTGTGAAAAGCAGACTGGCTGATCAGAGTTAGAGCTTGTTGATCGGGGAGAGAATTTTACATTCCAACTAGTCCAGAGATTGGCATAGCAACCTTGATAGTTTCTCAGGAGAGGGTCTTCTGTAGTTTGGATTTGCCTTTGTGGTTTAAGTATTCCAGTGGTTAATCGTGATCATCAGCTGACTCCCATTGTGGTGCTGTTGGGAGATGGTGGAAATTTTGGAAAGAGAGGACTTCTGGGAAATCCTGAGGTTGGGGAGGGGGGTGTGTGCCCTCAGAAAAGATTGTGGAAACTCAGTTTTTCCTTCTGACTTGTTGCTGTTTTCTCTCACATACAGCCCTCTGTCATGGCCTGGTTGTAGTTAAGAGAGCTTTCAACAGAACTGGGTTGAAAAAGACCCTCTATGCACTTGAATTTCCAAATTCAAGAGCTAAATAAGCCTTTCTACCTAAAGTTAGTCACCTCAGGCATGTCAGCTACACTACTGCAACATCAACTAACATGGATCCCATATAATTGTCTCTACAAAAAGGTGTAGAAAGAACTGTGTTCATGTAGAAAAGACCCAACGCAGCAAACTTCCTTTGTTTCTGCTTTTCACATGGATTCAGGGCTTCTTTCAATAACGTTTTGGAAAACCCAAGTGATACTACTCAAATTACTTGAAATCATGAATGTGTGTAACCCTTTAGATAGGACACAGATGTTTCTACAGTACTGTATCTAAAACCCAAAGCCTCAACCCATCTATCTGCACTGTGTTGTCTCCAGCTATTCCTTCTTGAAGGACACCCTCTGGCTTATGAAGGCTAATGCTGGGTCCAGATTTAGGGGCCCCTGCTCGTCTGTGGAGCTCTAACTATGGTTCATTGGGCTGATCCTCCATGGTCAGTCAAGTATAGCCGCTCTCCATCTGCTTGCAAGTCCCATTCTTTGCTTGAGACCAATGTATTTTTGCAAAACCAAATGAGGAAGAAGTAGAATAATTTTGTGTGCTTTACCTCCACAATCATAGTCTCAAAATGCTTACTTTTCTTTAGTGTTGTTTTCCTTTTGTACTTTGAGGGCTGGGGCTCTTTCTGAACAAACTGAGAACTGATGAGCTGTCCCTAAACTGTCACACTTTCTCCATGCAAATGAGGATGAGGGACAAAGACCTTGATTACAGCCTCATTAGCTTTATGCAAAACTCCAGAAGCCAGTTACAGCCACCGAAAACAGAGCAATGGACTCCAACAAGTGGGACAGAGCTAGCAGAGAACCTGCCAGGTCACATGGTCACACTGTTTTCACAGGAAGGGAGTCCCCAGTGTCTCCTTCAATCCCTCAGGCCACACAGAGCACATTCCTGTCCTGCTCTTAGGGGCTGAAACACCAATAGTTCCATACCTTAACTTCAAAAATATTTTATATGTATTTTTATACTATATTATCTCTATATTTTAAATCATATAACAAGTGCATATTTATATATCTATGTTTATACACTATACATACATCTTTGGAAGATATTCATGGATTTAGGCAACTGCAACTCAAAAGTATTTTTGGGAAATATATTTGTGCTAGCTAGCTTTGAATCAGTTTGACATAAGCTAGAGTCATCTAGAGACGGGAACCTCAGTTGAGAAAACTCTTTTATAATATTGGATACAAGTCAATAGAGCATTTCCTTAATTAATGATTGATGTTGGAGGTCTCAGTCCGCTGTGGGCTGTGACACCGCTGGACTGGTGATCTTGGGTGCTATAAGAAAGCAGACTGAGCCAGCTGTGGAGAGGAAGTCAGGAAGCAACATTCTTCTATGACCTCTGTATTAGCTCCTGCCTGCAGGTTTCTGTACTATTTAAGTTCCTGCCCTGACTGCCTTCCATAATAGACTGTAATATGAAAGTGTAAGTCAAGTGAACCCTTTCCTCCTCATTGCTTTTTGTTGAGGTGTTTCATCACAGCAATAGAAAGCTTAACTAAAACAGTATTGCACACACACTGAAGGAATCTGCTATGAAAGGCCTGCACACACTGTTTTTCCTGCTCATTAGTTCCTAAACAATGCAACACAACAACCATTTACATTATATTAGGTGTTAAAAGATGTGGAGTGATGATTTAAAGTACCATGGAGAATGATCATATTATATGCCAACTGCATGCCATTTTATATAGACCCTTGAGCTTTCACAGGTTCTTCTATTTGGGGGTTTCCCTGTGGATGATGATATAATGAGTGCATGACAAACTCACCTCCTAGGTGTCATGATAAGTCCTGTTGAAATGACCTTCTCACCACAACTCTGTGGTTAAGCTGTCCTCAGTAAGAAGGAGTCAATCAAATCAAGTGTAAGGAGGAGCAATGAGTCACAGCACAGAGAAATGAGTAAAATTACAGATGAATTCCTTGAGTGGGTGGCTTGGGAGAGGTTGATTTCAGAAGTAGGAGCTGAAAGGAAGGCTAGGCCTTCCTCTGGAGGGAGAATAGCAGGGAAGTCCCAGCTCTTTGCTCAACATCTATTTGTGATACACATGCATAACAAAGCCCCGAGCTAAAGAATGAGAAGGGTCTGGGTGCAGGAATCTTTGCCAACAAAGACACTAATTCATTAATTTAATTAAACATATGACCAAATAGTAGCCATACCACATACATCTTCCCTAATGAAAGTATCCAAAACCCACTGCAAATTCTCTTGATTTATTAAACCAAATTATTCAACTCAGTAAGTAGAGCTGAAAGGCCCTGAGCTAGGAGGAGGGGTAGCTCTGCTGTCAGTCTAGACTAGTCCAGCTAGGGAAATTGAAAACTTGGTTCATTACGCTTAACACACACTCAGACACGGACACACAGACACTCTCTCTCTCTCTCTGTCTCTCTGTCTCTGTCTCTCTGTCTCTGTCTCTGTCTCTCTCTCTCTCTCTCTGTCTCTCTCTCTCTCTCTAATACAACACACACACCCACAGAGCAAGAGAGAGCGAGAGAGAGCGAGAGAGAGAGAGAGAGAGAGAGAGAGAGAGAGAGAGAGAAGCTAATGGGTGGTTAACAAGGGCTAGGGCTAAGGGCTGAATTTGCATGCCTGCCTCAATCAAATAGCCCTTGCCATGCACAGAAAGCAGCAATTCTTAGTACACATGAGTGTGATCTGGGCAGTACATAAAGGCCACAGGTAGCCATGGTGGAACACTCCAAATGATGCAGGGGGTGTTCTGGTTTGTTAGCTCTAAGTATAACCAGCAACACTGCTAAATTTACCAGAAGAAATATTTTTAAGAAGATCTTAATAGCTACCTTTTTTTTTTTTGTGAAAAGTCAGGGCCCATTGTCTAAAACAAACAAACAAACAACAAAATGAAACAAAACCTAAAACCATTTGTCATACAGGGGTTCTCAATATGTCACCCAAATCACAGGCTTCTTGAGGACAATCCATCAATGTGTCACACACATGTCTTTATCAACTTCTGAATCAGTAAGAGCAACCATGAGGGCTTAGAGCCTAAATTGGGTGGGTGTTTTGACAAACAGTCTGAAGAGAATGAAAACTGGAGCCACTTTCCAAAGAAGCTTAGGGAAGGAAGTCTGTGGCTATGTAGGTTTAGGAGAGAGTTAGCCTTGAAAAGAAGGCAGGTAGCTCTCACAGCTTCCTTCCTTCTTGCCTTTCCCAGCATGTGAAACTGGAGGCAATCACATGGGTATTCTTGTCTCTTCCTTTGAGTCCATGATAAGACCTGTGTGATTGACTGAAATTTTAATAAGAAGCTGTCAATCTACCCCCACCATGGTGTGTGTGTTTGATATGGGTGGATAGGGAGCTGTTTTAGCCTTGGTATAATTGTGTGGCTGCATCACTAGGCCCCTGGAGCTTCTTCCTGGCTTCCTGCATTCATTCCATGAGTAAGTTGGATGAGTAATGGAATTTATGTCACAGCTAATTTCCCGCTGAAACACAAAGAAAGTGCTTCGATTACAGATACAACTTAAAAAAGTTTCAGTTAGCTCAACACAATTACAAAATAATTTCTGCAGGTACTGTTGGGGTACTCGGTAGTCCTGTCATCTTGTATATAAAGTCCCTCATCTATCTTAACTCCCTTAAATATACCTCAGTTTGTAACCTCTAAACATATCCCTGATGCCCATATGTTAGGATCAGAAGAGGAAATCTTTAAAAATATGAGCAGAGCAGGCATGTGTCTTTTTTTTTTTTTACATAAAACTGCATTTTCTTTATTTTTGCATACTTTTAATTCTGGAACAAATAAAACAAACAAAAAAAACCCACAATACACAATACCCAACCCTGATATTCTGTGGGAAGGGATTTTCCTGCCTTAAGGCACAAGACAGGGTAAGAGATCCTCTAGCATGAGCAGAGAGCCAGGTAGGTCAGGGCCAGCCAAGGCTGCTAGGGAGTACAGGGAAACTATACAGAGGACATGGTCTTCCCAGGGCATCTCTAATCTACTTCTTCCATGCGGGAAGCATCTTCATCACCCTCAAGTGGGGGGATCTCATCAGGAACAGCAGCACTGGGCTCCTCTGCTGTCACCTCATCTCCATCAATACCCAGGCCTAGTTTGATCATGCGGTAGATGCGGTTGGAGTGGGTCTGGGGATCCTCAAGTGAGAAGCCAGAGGAGAGCAGAGCAGTTTCAAACAGCAGCACCACCAGGTCCTTAACAGCTTTTTCATTCTTGTCAGCCTCAGCCTTCTGCCTCAGGGTCTCCACAATGGGGTGGTCAGGGTTGACCTCTAGGTGCTTTTTGGCCATCATGTAACCCATTGTTGAGTTGTCTCGAAGTGCCTGGGCCTTCATGATCCTCTCCATATTGGCTGTCCAGCCATAGGTGCTTGTCACAATGCAGCAGGGTGAAGACACAAGCCTATTGGAGATTGTCACCTTCTCAACCTTCTTATCCAAGATCTCCTTCATGAGCTTGCAGAGATTCTCAAACTTTGCCTTGCTCTCCTCCATCTTCTTCTCTTCCTCATCCTCTGGCAGCTCCAGGCCCTCCTTAGTCACAGAGACCAGGCTCTTTCCATCAAACTCCTTGAGCTGCTGCACGCAGTACTCGTCAATAGGCTCAGTCATGTACACCACCTCAAAGCCCCGCTTCCGCACACGTTCCACAAATGCAGAATTGGCCACCTGCTCTTTGCTCTCACCAGTGATATAGTAGATGGACTTCTGTGTCTCCTTCATGCGAGACACATATTCTGACAGGGAGGTCATCTCATCTCCAGACTGAGAGGTGTGATAGCGGAGCAGCTCAGAGAGGCGCCGGCGGTTAGTAGAATCTTCATGGATCCCAAGCTTTAAATTCTTGGAGAAGGCCTCATAGAATTTCTTGTAGTTCTCTTTGTCTTCAGCCAACTCAGAGAAGAGCTCCAGGCAATTCTTCACGATGTTCTTGCGGATGACTTTTAGGATCTTGCTCTGCTGCAGCATCTCTCGGGAGATGTTCAAGGGCAGGTCCTCAGAGTCAACCACGCCACGGATGAAGTTGAGGTACTCAGGTATCAGCTCGTCACAGCTGTCCATGATGAACACATGGCGGACATAGAGTTTGATGTTGTTCTTCTTCTTCTTGTTTTCAAAAAGGTCAAAGGGAGCTCGCCGAGGAATGAAGAGCAATGCTCTGAACTCCAGCTGACCTTCCACAGAGAAGTGCTTGACTGCCAAGTGGTCCTCCCAATCATTGGTGAGACTCTTATAGAATTCACCATACTCCTCTTGAGTGATGTCATCAGGGTTTCTGGTCCAAATCTGCTTAGTCTTATTCAGCTCTTCCTGATCAATGTATTTCTCCTTAATCTTCTTTGTTTTCTTTTTCTTATCTTTGCCACTGTCATCCTCCTCATCCGATCCCACATCTTCAATCTTAGGCTTCTCCTCATCATCCTTATCTTCCTCCTCTTTCTCACCCTTCTCTTCCTCTGCCTCATCATCACTGATCTCCTTCTCTCGTTCCTTTTCCAGATATAGGGTGATGGGATATCCTATGAACTGGGAGTGCTTCTTCACCACTTCCTTGACCCTCCTCTCCTCCAGGTATTCTGTCTGGTCTTCTTTGAGGTGAAGGATCACTTTGGTGCCCCGGCCAATGGGCTCACCATGGTCGGCACGCACTGTGAAGGACCCACCAGCAGAGGACTCCCAGGCATACTGCTCATCGTCATTGTGCTTTGTGATCACAACCACTTTCTCCGCCACCAGATAGGCTGAGTAGAACCCAACTCCAAACTGCCCAATCATGGAGATGTCTGCACCAGCCTGCAGAGCCTCCATGAAAGCCTTTGTGCCAGACTTAGCAATGGTTCCCAAGTTATTGATGAGGTCAGCCTTGGTCATGCCAATGCCTGTGTCCACCAAAGTCAGCGTGCGCTCCTGAGGGTTGGGGATGATGTCAATCTTCAGCTCTTTACCACTGTCCAACTTGGAAGGGTCTGTCAGGCTCTCATAGCGAATCTTGTCCAGGGCATCAGAAGCGTTGGAGATCAGCTCTCGAAGGAAAATTTCCTTGTTCAAATAGAAAGTATTGATGATTAAGGACATGAGCTGAGAAATTTCTGCCTGGAAGGCAAAGGTCTCCACCTCTTCCTCTCCATGGTGCACTTCCTCAGGCATCTTGACAGAAAAGCCAAGTAGTAGCACAGAGCAGGGTGGGCACGGAGCGCGTCCGACTCACACGCCAAGCCTAGGCTGCACGGGGGTGACTCAAGAGCCAGGCATCTGTCTTGAAGGCTTGGTTCATAGTTAGTGAGATGACAGAAACTGTAGGAGATAAGGTCTAGTTGGAAGAAGTAGGCCACTCAGATGTGCCTTTGCCCTCAAGTTCCTGTATAGCTCTCTACTTTCTGTCCAGTATGGGGTGATTATCTGACACATGCTCCACACCATCTACTCTGCCTCAACATGGGCTCAGATTCAACAGATCCAACAGAGAAATTTCTGAAACTGCCAGCCAAAATGTTTTCTTCCAGTACAGTGTTAAGCCATGCAAAGTCTAACAGACTAGATACTTGAAGGAGACACCCGTGGACAGTAGATATTCTTACAGCTTCTACATCTTCCCCATAAATACTATTAGGCTTTTATTTCTGACTTATTTTCCTCTCTAGGTACTCTTATCACCTTTCCACCATTAAAATCTTGAGGCACCTTTTTTTCCCACTTCTAAAGCATTGACAATACAGAGATTGGGTCTGGAATCCCAGATCATTTCACTCTTCCTATAAATTGTACCTAAGATTGATAGGGAACAGTTGATAGTAATTATAAGAATATACAAGACCAACAGAAGAACAAACCAGTCAATATTCTATCATGGAGAGGGACCTCCCACCCCAAACTGATGAACTACTGACAGCTAGTAGCTTCTGGGAGATGCTGAATTAGTTTTCCTGAAGGGCTTGGCAGTTGGTAAATTGACCATACTCCATTGGATGGTTTCATAACTATGAGTACGTAGGTACCACAAATTGTACTCAGTAGGTTAAGAAGACAAGAAATTGAGGATTTAGGAGGACCATGTGGTTCTAGGAAAAGTAAGGGGGCATGTGATTAATATAAGTTATAAGCAATTCTCAAAGAACAAAGGAAAGCAAATTAAGATTATAAAAAGAAAAAAATCTTTTAAAATTTTTATTATTTAAAACCATTTTAAATTTAAATGTACTTTGATCATATTCTCCCCCTCCCCCAAGTCCTTCCAGGTACTTTCCCCTTCCCTACCTATCTACCTATTCAACTTTTAAGTTCTTTCTCAACAAACAAAACCATAATACAACAAACTCCCAAATCCAAGAAAGCAAAACCATATCTAAAAAGAAAAACAAACAACAAAAGCAAGCAACCAAACAAAATCAACATACCAACTATAACCAAATAAAAGTAAACACAAAATATGTGGAGCTAAATTATATGCTGGTCAATGACTCCTCAAATATGAGGCATGTAGTGAAATGGTTGACAAACTAGTTTCATTCTGTTAGAGAAACTGATTTTCCCTCTCCCAATAGATATAAGTGACAATTTAGTTGCTAATCTTTACCATAATGATTGGGCATTCATTCATTCATTTATCTTTAAAATATAACAAAATGAAATAGTGTATGGTAAAACAAAAACTATTACATCGAAGTTGGACAGGACAGACAGAAAGAAGAAGGCCAAGAGAAAGCAGAAGAATCAGCGACCATCTCATTCACACACTTAGGAATCCCATGCAAACACTAAACTGGAAGCCATAATCTATACACAGAGGAGCTGGTGCAGATCCATGCAGGCCCTGTGCATGCTGATCAGTCTCTGGGAGCTCATGTGAGATTTGCTTATGTTGATTTAGAGGGCCCTGTTTTCTGGGTGTCCTCCATCCCTTTGGCTTTTCTCTTTTTCTGCTTCCTTTTCCAAGGGGCTTCCTGAGCTCTGAGGGGAGGGAAATGATGGACACATCCCATTTTCCTTGAGTGTTCCAAGGTCTTTCCCTGTCCACATAATATATGGCTGTGGATCTCTATATTTGCTCCCATCTGCTACAAGAAGAAGCTCCTATGCTGATAGTTGAACAAGACACTGATCTCTGAATGTAGCAGAATGTCATTACTAGTCATTTTATCGCTCCAGACCAGTATTTTTTGGTTTTATCCTAGCTTTCCGGGATAACTAGTCTTATGTTCTTGGCCACCCAAGCAGTTGTTGGTTATGGGTTCTACCTCCTGGAGTGGCCTTAAGTCAGAACAGTTAGTGGTTGATTATTCCCACAAGTTTTTTTGACTCCATTGTCCTAGTATATCTTGCAGCTGGACCATATTGTAGATAAAGAGCTTGCTACTGACTTGGTATTTATGTTTCTCTTTTGAGAGCATACATAATATATCCCTGAACCAGAGAGACTGTAACTGGATGAGAGTGCCATGCAGGTACCAACTCGACATTTCCAACTTTAATACCTTGTTTCTGACTTTAGTAAGTTGTGTAGGAGCAGAGTGCAGCAGTGGGGGCTTGCTGTCAATGTGTGGAGAGCAACCTACAGTCTTCATTGTCCACTATGTTCAGCAAGTCTGGTTTTATCCCATGCTTTTTCAGACCCAGGCCAGCTTGCCTTGGTGAGTTCCCGATAGGACATCCCCATTGTCTCAGTGTGTGGGTGCACCCCTCGCAGTCCTGAGTTCCTTGCTCGTGCTCTCTCTCCTTCTGCTCCTGATTTGGACCTTGAGATCTCAGTCCGGTGCTCCAATGTGGGTCTCTGTCTCTGTCTCCGTCTCCTTTCATCGCCTGATGAAGGTTAATATTCAGGAGGATGCCTATATGTTTTTCTTTGGGTTCACCTTCTTATTTAGCTGAGGACTACTGAGAACTCAAGAACAATGGCAATGGGTTTTTGATCCTACTGCACGTACTGGCTTTGGGGGAGCCTAGGCAGTTTGGATGCTCACCTTACTAGACCTGGATGGAGGTAGGTGGTCCTTAAACTTCCCACAGGTCAGGGAACCCTGATTGCTCATCAGGCTGATGAGGGAGGGGGACTTGATGGGGGAGGGGGAGGGAAATGGGAGGAGGTGGCAGGGAGGAGGCAGAAATCTTAAATAAATAAATTAATTAAAAAATAAAGTTACAAAAGGAAAAAAATCAAAATTAAAAAAAAAACCTATAGTCTTGGCAACAGCCTGGGAGCTTTGGAGATTCCCTTAGGTCCTCTTTGACCAACAACTCAATTATATGTAATCCAGTCTCTGTACTGGAAGCTTTGTTTGGTGATGGATATTCAGTTGGTTCCCTATCTCCCCATTATTTAGCAATTTCATTTAGATTACATTCACATATGTATATATTTTAGGAAGTTTCTACTGTTTTAGGTTTCCATACTATCCCTCAAACACACCTTAATTTTCTCTGTCTCTCCCTGTATTTTTCCCATAACCCCACTTCCTTCTCCTCCCCACTTTGTCCCCCTCATTTTGGCCTTCCCAATCTTGTCATAGCTATCTATGGACATAGACACCCTTTCCTTATGCTATCTAGCTGTTACCTATAGTCTCTTCCTCTATACATACCCTCTGGGTTTCTATGGCTTGTTTAGATTATTTGTCAGTGCCTTAACAGATAAGATATACATATAAGTGAATATATATCATATTTATCTTTCTTGGTCTTAGATATCTCTCTCAGGATAATTTTTTTCAGTTCTATGCATTTGCCTCTAAAGTTCATTATGTCATTTAAAAATGGCTGAGTCATACTCCATTGTGAAAATGTAACACATTTTCTTTATCCATTCTTCTGTTGAGGGACATTTAGGATGTTTCCAATTTCTGGATATTATGAATAGACCTGCAATGACTGTGGTTGAACAAGTGTCTCTGTTGTAGGATAAAACATCTTTTGGGTGTAGCACTATTAATAAAAACCAAGAAACAGATATTGGAGTTCAGACTGAATACCAGAAAAGCAAAGCAGCCAGCCACTGGCTCTTACATTTACCTCAGTCAGAAATGGTGATCCTGACTCCAGGAATCCTCAAAATGAGACTGAGATCTGTCTCCTCCTGTCTTATATTCCTCTCTAGTGCTGTAAGGGGTGCATCATTATCACCCAGCTTTTTTGGCAAACTAGTGTAGCTACTGGGATTAAAGGTGTGCGTCACCACTGCCTGTCTGTAAGGCTGATCAGGACAGCTGTTTTACTCTCTGATATTCAGGCAAGCTTTACTATTAAGATACAAATGAAATATTGTTACGTTCGGGTATATTCCCAAGAATTGTATAGTTGGATCTTTGGGTCGATGATTTCCATCTTTCTGAGAAGCTGCCACACTGGTTTTCACAGTGACTGTATGAGTTTTCACTCCAATCAGCAATATACTCTTACTCTGCATCATCTCCAGCATGAGCTGTCACTTGTTTGTTGATCTTCTCCATTCTTATACATGTAGGATGAAATCTCAAAGTAGTTTTGCAGTTCCCTGAGGGCTAAACATGTTGAACATTTCTTTAAGTGTTTATCAGCCATTTGAATTTTATTTTCTATGTTGAGAATTCTGTTTAGATGTTTATCCTCTTTTTTAAATTGCCTTTTTTGCTTGATATCTAGTTTCCTGAGTTCTTTATATATTTTTGATAATTGTTCTTTATTGGATGTTGAGTTGGGAAAAGTCCCCTTTTCATTCGATAGGATGCCGGTTTGTCCAAATTACACTGTCCTTTCCAATCCTGAAGTTTCTCAGTTTCAGGAGGTTCCGTTTATTTATTGATGGACTTAGTGCAAGTACTAATGTTGCTCTGAACAGAACGTCCTTTTCTGTGCTACAGAGTTCAAGTCTATTCTCTACTTTCTCTTCTACCAGGTTCAGTATGTCTGGTTTTATCTTGGGGCCTTTGATCCATCTGTACTTGAGTTTTGTGCAGAGTGATAAGTAGGTATCTACTTTGTTTCCTTTACATGAAACCATCCAGTTTGACCAGTACTGTTTGTTGAGGATTCTCCTTCTCCTCCTCCTCCTCCTCCTCCTCCTCCTCCTCCTCCTCCTCCTCCTCCTTCTTTTAAAGATAGGATTTCTCTGTATTGCTCTGGCTGTCCTGCAACTCACTCTGTAGACGAGGCTGGCCTTGAACTTACAAAGATCTCTCTGCTTCTGCCTTCCA